TGTCTGGAAGTTACAAAAATGCTTATTTTTGGCCCCTAATTCCTTTACTGTTGGTACCATAACCCCCAAAATCAATCCCAACCTTCCTTTTGTGGTATTGAACCTTGTGGTAAAATTTCATAGAGATCCATTCACTTAAACTAAAGTTAGAGTGCGAAAACCAATGTGTCTTCGGACGACGCAGGACGACGCCGGACGACGACGACGACGCCGGACGACGACGACGACGACGACGACGCCAACGTCATACCAATATACGACCACAAAAATTTTTTTGCGGTCGTATAAAAATCTTTTTTGTCGAGCCTTTGACTTTTGTCGAAAAAGCGAGACATAGCGATCCTACATTCCGTCGGTGTCGTCGTCGGCGGCGTCCAAAAATATTTACTCTGTGGTTAAAGTTTTTGAAATTTTAATAACTTTCTTAAACTAACCTGGATTTCTACCAAACTTGGACAGAAGCTTGTTTATGATCATCAGATAATATTCAAAAGTAAATTTTGTAAAAAAAAAATTCCATTTTTTCCGTATTTTACTTATAAATGGACTTAGTTTTTCTGCCAGGAAACATTACATTCACTCTGTGGTTAAAGTTTTTGAAATTTTAATAACTTTCTTAAACTATCCTGGATTTCTACCAAACTTGGACAGAAGCTTGTTTATGATCATAAGATAGTATCCAGAAGTAAATTTTGTAAAAAAAAAATTCCATTTTTTCCGTATTTTACTTATAAATGGACTTAGTTTTTCTGCCAGAAAACATTACATTCACTCTGTGGTTAAAGTTTTTGAAATTTTAATAACTTTTTTAAACTATCCTGGATTTCTACCAAACTTGGATAGAAGCTTGTTTATGATCATAAGATAGTATCCAGAAGTAAATTTTGTAAAAAAAAAATTCCATTTTTTCCGTATTTTACTTATAAATGGACTTAGTTTTTCTGCCAGTTAACATTACATTCACTCTGTGGTTTAAGTTTTTAAAATTTTAACAACTTTCTTAAACTATCCTGGGTTTGTACCAAACTTGGACAGAAGCTTGTTTATGATTTAAAGCTAGTATCTAGAAGGAAATTTTGTTAAAATTTTGTTCCATTTTTTCCGTATTTTACTTATAAATGGACTTAGTTTTTCTTCCAGTTAACATTACATACAGTCTGCAGTTTAAGTTTTTAAAACATTTATAAGATTCATAAACTATACTGGATTTTTACCAAACTTGGACAGAAGCTACTTACAATCAAAAGATAGTATATAGAGGAATATTTTTATTAATTTTTTTCCTCATTTTTGTTGAGCCTGCGATTAACAGCAAAAGTAGGCGAGACACTGGGTTCCGCGGAACCTTTACGAATTTTTTTTGAATAGAGCAGGCGTGATTCATTTAATTTGTGTTTTTGGTCTAAAAATGCACTTCCAAATAACTGTGTTCTGAGCCCATATGCCAGAAACAAACCTGAGAGCATAAAGCATCTATAAACCTTCTGAAATATAAAGATTTATACAAATAGTTTTAGCCTTTAATGTTACTTATTTAGCATGCAAATGGTTATGTCCTACATTCTGCAACTTTCAGCAACACAAAATACGCAAAGTCTCAGTACTGTACCTTGTTTGACTAAAAAATAGTTTATCAATATCCCATCCTAGATGGTGACCAATCTGTATAACAAGTTTCTGTAAGTTCTCCCATGGGTCAGGAATTTGACATTCTTTGTCTAACAAGCCAGATATTGATGCTTGTCTGCTGAGCTTAGTTGGTGACAGGATATCTATAATCATAAATCAATTATTTCTATTTTTCACACCGAAGATGCAGGGTATATATAAATGAAATAGCAACTCAAAACACAAACAATATTTCACATGCTGAAATGCCTTGCCTGTATAACACAAATAAGGTCAAAACAGACCTGTTTACCCTCGTTGAGGAATCATATTAGTTTGGGTACTCATTTGAGGGCTCACTGTAGTTTTGGTACTCAGTTGATAGTCCAGTGGATATCAGAACATTTGATCAATTTATGGTAAAAGCATGAAATTTTGCAGTGTCAGTTTTGATGCTAATGAACATTTTTGGATAGGGAGCCACGAAAAAAAAAATCCAATATGGCCACCCAATTTAAGATGGCCTACAAAAGGTACTGGGAATACAACACCATACATTTGATGAGTTCTACCAATATGAAAGAGTTTAGTACATATTCAAGTATGGTATCAAATGAAAGCCTGCTTCATAGCTTTCAAAATGTTGTCAGGTTTTTTATCTTCATTGTTGACAACTATTCTGACAATTAAAATATAAACCCCCTACCCTATGAAATATTGGCAAAAGCAAAAAAAACTTTTTCAATTAACAAACACCAGAAATATAATGATAAACTGTTAATTTGATGTTTTCTAATAATTATTGTAGTAGTGGACATATTTGGTGGTATTTTTAGGTTTCAAACACGATTTGCAGTCAAATATGAGGAAATTGTAAATAAATTATTAATTTCCAGATTTGTCAAATTTCACCTTTTGCCTCTGATGTCCAGTCTGCTTAAGCAAAAACAGTTCAGTTGATCTCAATTGAAAAAAAAGAATGTTTAAGCTTCCATATAAACATCAGATATTGGTTGTTTTCATAGAATAAATACTAAAATAATTAAAAATACTGAAAGATATTACTCCTATCTTACAAAATGTTCAACTAGAAACTGTGAATTCACAAATGAACAACTTAAATACTTCAACCAAAGTATAAACTAGCAAAAATTAGTTTTAACTATGTACAACAGATATATTTGGAAACCATGTGGCTACATTAATATCACTTGTGTAGCATGAAGTTTGGGGAAAAGGAACAATTTTGGATTTTCAGATTTTATTAAAGGAGTAGGTTCGAAAAGGCCCTAATATGTCTTCTTTTTCTAGCTATGATTTTAGATAAGGATTTACAGACCAATATTTCAATGAATTATAGCTAATACATTGACTAGATAGAAAATATGTCTTTCTGTTGATTTACTTACTTGCAATCAATTCATGAAGTCACAATTGGCACTCATTTTGATTTTTCACCAAAATTTAATAAAAACGGGTAAATTTCCGTTAATTTGTTGGACAAGAAACATAGAGCGTATGTGTGGACAAAATTATCTTTTCATGTAATGTTTATTATATCATTTTACATATCTGACTTGAATATTAAGTTTGTCGACGCATCTTCTCTATGTTTCCTATGCCTTAATTTGGTTGAAGTCCTATCATTTTTGTCAAATTTTGACAAATTCTCTATTTTTGGCCTATTTGGGATGTAAAATTCAAGACTTTAAAATAAAACTTGGACAAAAAAAGTTCTATTTAACTTTCTCACATCTCTTTAAATTAACTTAAAACATTTTTTATCCTGAAACATTGAACTTAATGATCTGGGCCAAACATAATTATTAAAACGTTTAAACCTACTGCATTTGTTTGGACCTGTCCTAAGTCAGGAACCTGATGTTCAGTGGTTGTCGTTTGTTGATGTGGTTCATAAGTGTTTCTTGTTTTTATATAGATTAGATCGTTGGTTTTTGCCTGTTTGAATGGTTTTACACTAGTCATTTTTGGGGGCCCTTTATAGCTTGCTGTTCGGTGTGACCCAAGGCTCCGTGTTGAAGGCCGTCCTTTGACCTATAATGGTTTACTTTTACAAACTGTGACTTGGATGGAGAGTTGTCTCATTGGCACTCATACCACATCTTCTTATATCTACTTACAGAACTTACCCCTTTTGTCATAATTATTCTTTTAAAATCAAAATACATATGTTATATCCACAACTATTGGCTTTCCCATATGAAGGAATAGATTATGTATTTTATAAACCCAAATGATCTCTGAAAATATGAAATCTGATTAAAATGGAAAATATAACTCCTACCCATGCAAAGTTTGAAAAAAAAAACAAAAGCATTGTCAGTTTGTTTTCGACTTGTGAGTTTGAACATCCCTTTTTTGCCTCTCTTTCAAAAAAACTAATCTAATATGAAGTGCATATAATTCAAGACACCTAAATCATGCAAATTTATTTTTGTAAACAGAGAAATTAATTAAGAACGGATAATTTCAAATTTGAAGATTTTTCTGATTTAAAAATAAAATGTTATAAATATCAATCTTATATCAAAATATCACAATGTATTTTACGCTTTTTGTTTACACGCTAGAGATCAATTATTTTCACTTACATAATCTAATGATAAAGCTAAAAAAAATAAGCCTACCCTTTTTAAAATTTTCAACATACATGTTTTTAAATTAAAAGGATAAAAATTATAATTTTGAGACATTTTGAAAAACCTATAAATATGAAATTTTCCGTTTTTTCAAAACTGAAATGGCATTAGGCAGGTGAGACGGTTGAATAAGCATCTATTGTATTACAGTACTACTGATTTATACCAGGGGCCTGTTTATCAAATCAGTCTTAGGATTAAGACAAAGTTCTAAGACCATCTAAGGACATATTTTTGTCCTAAATGGGTTTGTTAAACACGTTGCAATCAAGGATTTTTTTCTAGGAATTTGTCCTTAGTTTAGGATACCAATTTAGGTGTCTAAAGATAGTCCTAACTTTATGATATATTTTATGATATCTAATTTGTATCTCAAACTCTCTTTTTAGCACTATTGGTTGCAACATTGGAATTCGAATGAACAGTAAAGATTTATGCTTTCCAGAGAGCCTGTTGTTGGACATCTGTAAAGTAAGGATTCCTCCTTTTTTTCAAATTCGCTCGTATATTTTTTGACAGTAGTGAAATTGGTTAACCACTATGTATTTATATGGAAGATGCATGAGATTTGCATTTGTATAAAACTATGAGACTTTGAATTCAACTCACTCACAAATTAACATATATTGTAAAAAAAAGACTTTTTGGCTGGAATTTCCGATAATATAGATTTTCATAATGCTATGCGTGTAAGAAGGAATTTCTTTGTTAAGTATATCAACATGAGGTCAAGGACTGCATGTTCAATGCATGATCATTTAATTACATTATCTGATTGGTCAGTTCTTGTGATTGGTAATTAATATCATATTTCTACATGTGTTCGGACATGCGGTCATAAGCCTTTGTTTTGGGAGAGAGAAAAGATCGTTTATGAATTTTAACTGAAAAAGTACTGCAGAAAGGGCTTACCAGACATTTATCGAAGAATCCACAGATTATGAGGTAAAAGCGAAACTTAACTATTATTATTATATGTTTTATAAGGTTTATTTTAATTTATTGATTTTATAATAGATTAGTTGCTTTTGAACCATAGTCCGGCGTGCCTTAATTTTTGGTAATTCTTTTATTCGTCGTTTAGAATCATGAAAACTGTGATCGAGATTGGTAAAATTAAGGTTTAGACGGAACCGATATTCACGTGGAATATTTTGGTTTGGGCGGAGGGACTCTTCGCCCCGGTAATAAATGTGTTCAAAAGCAACAATATATGCATATAATTGAAGAATATACGCCACATTCGGTTTTTCTTCAGGTTGGAGGCAACGATTTATCGTCTGAAAATGAGCCTGTAAAATTAGCAAGAGATATCAGAGTTTTTTGCCGATTATATAATTGATTGCTATCATGTTAACCACGTGGTTATTGGTCAACTTCTCCCGAGGTATTCCGAAAGACCGGAAACCAATTATAACAGTAAGCTTTACATTGTAAACAAAGAACTTCAGCGTTTACTAAAACAAAGAGATAATGCGACTTTCTGGCATCATAGGGGTTTGTGGAAGAACACCCTAGATTTATTATTAAAAGATAAAGTTCATCTTAATGATGAAGGTATGGAAATATACGCTAGAAGTGTTCGTGCTGCTGTTGGTAGCCTTTCACGTACATGTAGTGTCGAGCATACTTGCGTTGCAAACTACGTATACCGTGTATGATTGTTATTACTTATGGTTCCTAATTGGAAGGACATACAAAGAAGAAGAAGCATACACTACGATTATTTAGTTATCTATGAATCATTTGCATATTATTACTCCATCACCTTATCAATTTTATAATTTAAAATGCTTATATGCATATGGTTGTGACACTTGGTGACATGAAAAATGTCTTATTTATATTTTATTTAGTTGCAATTGGTTATATCATTTAGATCATTTATATCAGAGTTATATAATATAATATGTCTCTGTTTATATTTACTTATTGATTATTTATTCATAATCATGGTTTATATACTATTATGTTAGTATATTATGAGTTTATTTAATCAGAGAATAAATCACATCTTCCCCTATAATGGTTGTGTCACAAAAGGGATAGATTTTGGTACAATTGAAGTACTTACATATTGGTTGGTTTCAAAAATTGGTTTTGGAGTATTAATTAGCATATCATTTAATAGTCAAACTTAATTTTAAACATGAGTACATTTTATAAGATATATCATCATATCAAATATGTTTAATTTGCTGGACAAGCATTTTGGTTTAAAAATATTACATATATAGTAACATTCTTTAAATCTGTGATACTACAGGATTTTTATTTTTATTTTTTGTTTATGTATTTAAAGCAAAAAAGCCAAAACAGAAAAGCAAAACAAGAAGAAATGCTGCTCCACAAAACCTGGCAGAGTATGTTCAAGATTTAGTGGAGGAACAAAGTCAAGAGTTACCACCAATATACAGGCCACCAGTGCGGAGACGCAAGGCCAGACAAGAAGCTCCTGGAAATCAGTTGGATCGTGAAACGAATACCCAACAGTCATCTGTTCCAAGCCCAAATGACATTGCTGATGCCTTGTTCGTAAAAATCCAAAATTCTGGCATTCAACTGATCAAAGACAATACTGTAGTCCCAATTAATGACGTAACTGGTATGCTGTCGTCATCTATACAACCAGAAAATTCGACAACTACTGACTCCCAGGGACCAATGTTAGCTGTTTTTCAACCACCAATTTCCTCTGATCCTAATTTCAACACTCCTTCTGATGGTGAGCTGCTAAACTCAAGTAACTCAAATAAAGAAAATCCATACGCATGTCAAATGTTGAGACACACTATACCTTTAGATTACCATGTCAGCAATAAGGTGAAATCTGATGTTTGGTGTGACAATTATGTAAATTTTGCTCTATTGTTATCTTCTAATATTGATGATGAAACATGTAATGAATCAACATTGTTTGAAAATTTAAATATTACAATTTCAAATAGGAAACCTAAAAAAGAGCTTTTGTGTATTCACCAATGGACAAACGCTTTTGATATATTTATATCAATATATCTTGAAAAGAATTTGAGGTCTGCTAAAGCATTGATCAAGTATGGTTTTAATGTACAGTCATTATGCAAGTCCTTGGGTTTCCAAGTCGCTAAATTATATGACGAAAAATTTAGAAAGATAAGGAAAATTTTAGGGTTGAGATGGGATGAAATCAATGATGAACTTTGGAGATCTGCAGCTTTATTTGACAGACAAACTGAATTTTTGGGTCGAAATAAGAAGTCATTTGCTAAAACATCAAACTCGGGCCCAAATTCTTTTCAAAGGAAGGCCCAGCATCAATATCAATTCCCAAACGGCTATTGCTGGGCCTTCTGTAAATCAGGGGCATGTACAGCAAAGTGTTGTAAACTTAAACACCAATGTGTACACTGCAGCAAAAGTCACTGTACCCTTACATGTCCAGAGCAAAAAGAATAAAATGCTCCGCTGGGCGCAGCTTGATACGACCGCAGAGGTCGAACCCTGAACATTTGGGGCAAGTATGGACACAACATTCAAGCTTGATACAGCACTGAATTTGGATTGTGATTAAATATTTGACACAGCATAGGTTTCTGACACAGAATGAATGTGGTATAAGAACTTAAATAAAGGCAACAGTAGTAAACCGCTGTTCGAAACTCATAAATCGATAGAGATAAAAACAAATCCGGGTTACAAACTAAAACTGGAGGAAACGCATCAAAAATTTTTAATTTACCTATTCAAACCATATCATTATTATTTGCTTTTATATATAAATCACAAATAACCAATTTAAAATGGAAAATTTTAAAGAAAAAAAAATCCCTCCCCCAAATTTTTGAACCCCCTTACGATTCATCACCCCCAAACTCAATCCCAGCTTTCCCTTTGTGATATGGAACCTTGTAGTACAATTTCATAAAGATCCATACACTTACACACAAGTTATTGTCCTGAAACTAGAAAAATGCTTGTTTTTTGCCCCTTTTTGCCCCTAATTCCTAAAATTGTGAAGCAATTACCCCCAAAATAAATCCCAGCCTTCCCTTTGTGGTATGGTACCTTGCAATACAATTTCAGAGAGATCCATACACTTGAACACAAGTAATTGTCATGAAAGAAGAAAAATGCTTGTTTTTTCCCCCTTTTTTGGCCCCTAATTCCTAAAATTTTGAGGCAATTACCCCCAAAATCAATCCCAGCATTCCCTTTGTCATATGGAACCTTGTGGTACAATGTCAGAGGAGAGATCCATACACTAACACACAAGTGTCTGGAAGTTACAAAAATGCTTATTTTTGGCCCCTTTTTGGCCCTTTATTCCTTAACTGTTGGTACCATAACCCCCAGAATCAACCCCAACCTTCCTTTTGTGGAATTAAACCTTATGGTAAAATTTCATAGAGATCCATTCACTTAAACTAAAGTTAAGTCGACGACGACCAATGCGGTCGTAAAAACACATGCAACCTTTGTCAAAACTTCCAACACCAATAAAGGTTGAACATTTGAAACATTTTTAGCAGGTTATGAATAAAGGCAACAGTAGTATACCGCTGTTCGAAAACTAATAAATCGATAGAGATAAAAACAAATCCGGGTTACAAACTAAAACTGAGGGAAATGCATCAAATATAAGAGGAGAACAACGACACAACAAAAACACAACATTAAAATGTAACACACACAGAAACGAACTATAATATAACAATGGCCATTTTCCTGACTTGGTAGAAAAAAATGGTGGGTTGAACCTGGTTTTGTGGCATGCCAAACCTCCCGCTTTCATGGCAACGTCAAACACAACACCAAAACGACAACATCACATGACAGGACCACAATACAAATAAATGGGAGAACATATAGGACAAAGAAACACACGAATAATAGCTAACAAAAGGTACTAGGCTTAAAATTCAATACGCAAGACGTGCGTCTCGTCCACACAAGACCAACCAGTGACGCTCAGATGAAAAAAGTTTGAAAGCCAAAACAAGTACAAAGCTGAAGAGCACCGAGGACTAAAACTTCCAAAAAGTTGCGCCTAACACGGCCAGGATTTTCTGCCTGGTACAAGAACATCCTTATAATTTAGAATAATTTATAATTTTGAAGAAAGTAAATTATAACATGACTATATAATAGATATACATGATAAAACCAAAGTGGGGACTAACTACAGAATAAAAACGGATACATTACATAAAACAACTTAATCCAACACATAAAAAATACACAGCCGAGTTAGCTAAAGCCCCAACGCACAAAGTGACGTCACATTTGAAATTTGAAACCGAGTTGAAAGATAAATTGATTCATGGTTTTTCTTTTGGATTTTCGATCAATTCTTGTTTTTCTACATCCCTAAATAAAGAGATTTTTCCTCCAAATCACAAAAGTGCAAGGGAGAATTATCATGTTGTGCAATTAAAACTGAATAAAGAGATTGAAGCAGGTAGAGTTAAGGGTCCTTTTACAAAGCTCCCTCTTTTTGTATGCTCCCCTTTGGATTTAGTTCCAAAAAAGGAACCCAATTGTTATCGATTAATACATGATTTGTCGTATCCTAACGGTGACTCTGTAAACTCTGGTATTTCCCCAGAATTTTCGGCTGTACAATACCAAAACATTGAGACGTACAGTTTTAGATTTAGTCCAATCTTATGGATCAAACTGTCTAATGTCCAAAACAGATATTGAGCATGCATTTCGCTTAATTCCAATTGCTAAAAAAGATCATCATCTATTAGGTTTTCATTGGGACAAACAATTTTATTATGATGTCTCCCTGCCCATGGGGGCTTCTTCCTCGTGTCAGCTGTTCGAGTCTTTTTCTACAGCCCTCCACTGGATTTTAAACGTCAAATTTCAAATTTATGGGGTATCACACTTGTTAGAGGATTTTTCCTTTGTCAGAAAATCTGGCTCAAATGAATGCTATAGAGCACTACAAACTGTTCTTTGTCTTGCCGATAAATTGGGGGTACACATCACATCAGACAAAACACAACTCCCTACTACTTGCATTATTATCTACGGTATTGAAATTGATTCTACACAGATGGTAGCTCGTTTACCTATGGAAAAAATTGAAAAAAATTTGCAATTATTGAGTAAATACAAATGTAAACGCCGTATCTCACTAAAGAGAATTGCAATCCTTATTTGGTCTTTTAAATTTTGCATGTGGAGTTATCATACTTGGATAATCCTTTTTACGCAGGATTTTTGACCTGACTATAGGCCATACATCTCATCATTATAGAATCAATCCTAATTCTGATGCAAGATTAGATCTGAAGTTATGGTACAATTTTACAATGGTAAATCTTGTTTTTTATTCAAAGAATGGGTTTCATCGGATTTTTTAAAACTTTTTTCTGATGCTGCAGGTAAATATGGTGGTTTTGCTGCAGTTTTTGGCAGCAAATGGTTTTCAGGTGAATGGCCACCGGATTTAGTCGAATTACACATTACAGTGAAAGAACTTTTCCCCGATTGTGTTAGCTATTGATATATGGGGCCCTCTACTGGCAAATCATAACATACTGTTTTTAACAAATAATTCAGCTGTTGCTGAAATTATAAATAAAACATCATCTCCGGAAAAGAATATTATGAAATTGATTCGAAGATTAGTGCTAGCTGCATTAAAGTACAACATCTATTTTAGAGCCAAATATATTCCTTGGAAAACAAACGTTATTTGTGACTTGTTGTCTCGTTTTTCATTTCAGGAAGCTCATCAGAATGCTCCTTGGTTAAGTCCATCTCATGTGGCCATTCCACCTCAATTTTTGCATCTATGACTGATAAGTTTGTTAGTGCATCATTATCTGACGCTACTGTGTCATCATATAATAGAATGTTTAGTGTGTATTCAAATTTTTGTCAGAAATTTTTTCCAGGAGTTATTGTACTTCCATCTACTCATGTCATGGTTGCTCATTTTATTTCACATTTGTTTATTCAAAATTATAAACCACCTACAATTGCGTCATAAATATCAGCCATCAGTTTTATACATACAATTAATTTCTTACAGGATCCAACAGACACATTTTTTATTAAAAAGATGTTGAAAGGTACAAAACAGTTGAGACATTCTGTTGATAAACGGTTGCCAATAACCTATGATATTCTTGTAAAATTAGTTAAGGCTTTACCAACAAGAGTGCACACACTGAAATGTCTCGCCTTCTTTACTAACCATTGATTTTATGTTGATAGTCCTAAATATAAAGCTTTACTACAAGTAACACATAAACTTAACATGATCCAAGAAAATGAGGTCAAGGTCAGATAAACCAAACGAGAAATACATGTACACCTTACAATCATTCAATAAACCAAACATAGTTGACCTATTGCTTATAGTTTCTAAGAAACAGACTTAACCAAGAAAACTAAATATTGACCAATGAACCATGAAAATGAGGTCAAGGTCAGATGATACCTGCCAGACAGACATATACACCTTACAATCCTTCCATACAACAAATATAGTTGATCTATTGCTTATAGTTGAAGAAAAACAGACCAAAACACAAAAACTAAACACTGAGAAATGAACCGTGGAAATGAGGTCAAGGTCAAATAAAACCTGCGAGACTGACATGTACATCATGAAATATTTCCATACACCAAATATAGTTGACCTATTGCATATAGTATTAGAAAAAAAGACCAAAACTCAAAAACTTAACTTTGACCACTGAACCATGAAAATGAGGTCAAGGTCAGATGACACCTACCAGTTGGACATGTACACCGTACAATCATTCCATATACCAAATATAGTAGCCCTACTGCTTATAGTATCTGATATATGGACTTGACCACGGAAACTTAACCTTGTTCACTGATCCATGAAATGAGGTCGAGGACAAATGAAAATTGTCTGACGGGCATGAAGACCTTGCAAGGTA